CAGACTTAAATGTGAAAGGCAAAACAATAAAGTTTTCAAATGAAAAAATAGGAGGATATGGTCATTATATTAATCAGAAACTTCTTAAATGCAAAGCACAGCCATAAAAGAAGAAAGTGATAAATTGGACTTCATAGGATTATGGCTCATCAAAAGACACAATTAAGAGAACATGAAAGTGCACCACAGACTGAGAGAAGATATTCACAAAATAAATTCTCTCTCTTATCTAGCTATAGGCCAGTATGAAAAAGAAAGAAACCTTAAGATTAAAATGGTCAAAATATTTGTTCAGGGCCTTCATTACAAAAAGATATCTAAATGATCAAAACTCATCTGAAAAGATGGCTGACATCATTGTTCATTAAAGAAATGCAAACTGAAGCCACAATGAAATAACACTAGACACCCACTACAATTGCTAACATTAAAAAGATTGAAAATATTAAATGTTGGCAAGAATGTGGAATACCTGGAAATTTTAGACATTGCTGGTAAGAATGTAAATTTCTTCAACAGTTTTGGGAAAAAATCACTAGTGTCAATTAAAACTAAAGACACATATACTCATGACTAGTATGATGTATTTCCAAGAGCAACGAGTGTATATATGCCACCAAAAGACATGTACAAGAATGTTCATGACAGCTTGCTTGCCCCAAACTAGGAAACAGCCAAATGTCTCACCCACAGTAGAATGGCTAAGAAGGTGTCATCCAATGGAGTTATATACAGTGATAAAAGAGAATGAACTACTTTCACCCAAAGTAACATGGACAGATCTCATAAAGTAACGAGCAGAATAAGGGGAACACAAAAGAGAACATTCTGTATATTTCCATTTAAATGAAGTTCAAGAACTGGCAAAATTATTCTGGAATGAGAGAATGTTCTGAGGTGTTAGAAATGTTTTATATCTTGGTGTGTGTGGTGTTTACAAGGGTGTATATACATATATGTAAAAATTGATTGAGTGTTATATAGAGGCAGAACTCTACACTGAAGTTGTGTACTTTACTGTGTATAACATTATGCCTTAATACATACAATATTAAATTTAAAACGTGCACAAAAATAGAAGCACTTTTATAGTAGTTTCGTATTGGAAACAACTCAACTGCCCCTCAGCAGTAGAATCAATAAATATATTGTGATGGAGTCATACGGTAGAGTCCCATATTAAAATGAAAAATAACAAATTACTAATGCAAAAGCATGGATGAATCTCAATGACGATATGGAGCAAAGTAAGCTCGACTAGCATGTGACCCAGCACTTCCACTCCTAGGTATATATCCAAAAGGATTAAGAGCAGGAACTCAGATAAACGCTGCTATCAATTCTCATAGCAGCATTATTCACAGTAACCAAAAGTGAAAACCACCCAAATGTCCATCGACAGATAAATGAATAAACAAAACCTGGTATATCCATACAACGGAATGCTATTCAGCGATAGAAAATGAGGTTCTGCTACATGCTATGACATGGGTAGACCTTAAAGACATTATGCTAAGCGAAAGAAGCCAGACACGAAAGGACCCACATTATATTATTCCACTTCTATCAAGTACTACAAATAGGCGAATTCAGGGAGACAGAGAGTGAAGTAGTGATTACCAGGGCTAGAGAGAAGGGAATGGGGAGTCATTATTTAATCAGCGCAGAGTTTTCATTTGGGATGACAAAGAAGTTCTGGAATGACTAGTGGTGATGATTATACAACAGGGTGAATGACTTAATGCCACTGAATTGCACACTTAAAAATGGCTAAAATGAGCAATTTTATGTTCTATTTTATCACAATTTTTTTAAAAGAAGTTCAACACAGAAAAACATACCGTGTGATTCCATTTATATGCGTTTCCAGAAGAGGCAGAATTAGTGTGCTGTGAGGTCAGGATGGTGTTGCCTTTGGATGGGGTATTGATCAGAAGGGAGCCCGTCTATATCTCGGCCGGAGCGATAGTTACTGGATGTATACATGTGTAAAACAGTCTCTTGCCATCACTTTACGGTATATAAACTATATTTCCATTTTTAAAAGAAAAGAAAAAACTCTCACATCTGGGGAAAACCGTAATTTACAAGTTGCTTGCATTTCTTTAACCCTTCAATTATGCAGATTTAGGCCCACCTGGAGGCAGAGTGTCTCTTCCAGGAAGTCAGCAAATGGGCTGTTAGGGTCTCACTGATCTAAAGCCAGAAGCTCTGCATTTATTCCAGGGATTCAGAGATTCAGCTTCAAGTTTTCGTCACTCACAGTGGGTGGGGTAAGTCAGAAATGTGTTTACCAGGCTTCTGGGGGTTTTGAGGATGGAAGAGAGTAGGATGAGGGATGTGGGGCAGAGAGAGAAACGTTTCTGGGCCGGGAGTGCACTGACGGGGCGCCAGGCTGGACTTGCTGCTTGCTCCTGCGTGAGTGCTTCTGGGCACAGCGTGGTGGGCAACTTTGAAGACAGCTCCCAGGAAATGAGCAGAAGTGGCCGAGGCAGCTGCTTTGAAGAGACTTGGTGTAACTTCAGGCACCGGGGACAAAATATGGGACAACATTGTAATAAGGGCAGATACTTTTACTTGCCTTTCCCATCTCCTTTCAAAACCCTGCACTCTGGAAGCCTCTGGAAAAATGGCAGTTTGGAGCGTCGGAACACAGCACCTGTTGGTTTGGACACTTGCAATCTCACCCAAAGCAACTCCTGGGGTGTGGGTGCAGAGGAGGAACCTGGACTGTTAACCAGTTTGTAAGCACATGAGTAAGCACCCTTTGGAGGTATTTAGGAATACCTGACAAAAGTTCCGCTTAGGGTACAGCCAGTCTGACGTCCAGCAGTCATGCTGGAAGGGTTCAAAGGGACTCAGGCATTAAGTTAAGATGACCTCAGTCCATGCTCACAGGCTGGCAAAGGCTGGAGAGAACAACTATTTGTGTGAAACCCTGTGTCTATATTCATATGTATATGTGAAGTGTGCATATAATTAGGAAATTGGTGTCTTGCGGTGTATTATTTTGAATCCATCTTGATTTCTACTGAGCACTGTATTTTGAGCATTTCCATGTTGTCAGAGAGTCTATTGGCATATTCCTAAGATCGGGAGACTTGTCCAGTAGCTAGGGTCCCGGCACCCACAGCCCAGCTGGAGAGCAAACCACTTACCCTTAGGCTCCCCTACCTGTCCCTCTCTCCACTGCTTCTTGAGTTCTGTTCCTTGGTTCTAGCAGCCTCCGGTTGTGACATTATTGAGGCCTGGCTTGACTCCTTCCAGGGAGGTAAAGAGGGTCCTGTTTTCAGAAGCCATGGCAAGCACGATCCAGAAGTCCCAGAGCAGGTCAGTCATTCAGTGTTGACCCACTAGTGAGAACACAGCAAGCCCAGTGGGCCTCCTCCTCACCCCCACCCGGCCTCTCCCGGGTTTGCTAAGTAAAGAAATTGATGTGAGAAGGGTCAAGGAATTTGCCATGGGATTCAGCAAGCTCACAGCTTGATGGAAGTTGAGCCTAAATCTTCTGATCCCCCAAGGTCAATGCTTTTCCACCCCTCACCCTCTACACCCTTCCCACAAGTAACTCTGGTGGAAGAAATGAATTTATCTATAAATCCCACACTAAAGCCACAAAAATTGCTTTTATTTAATTGCTAGCACAAATACAGAATAGAATTAAGGCAGTGTAATACATTTCCACTTATTCTTACAAGCTGTAAACTTTGCTTAAAGTGTCAACTTGAATCAACAATTGAAATTTTTATTAAAAGCAGGGTTTTTTTTTCCCTTGAATTCTAGAGCAAAGTCATTCCCTGGGCTGTCAAGTGTGCTGATACAAGACATTACAACTTAAGGCATATCATTGAACTTCAGCCAAGCTTGGGGAGATTGGCTGGTGTTGGCATCTCTTCCTTCCCCCCACCCCAGCCGGGAGGTGAGAGGGACAAGGCATTTGGAGGAACACTCAGTAACAATTGCCACAGCAGTACTACATTCGCTTCTGGCTGTCAATTACTACATCAAACTCCCTCTTAAATGAAAATTAAAGTAAAAACTGTAAAAAAAAATCAGGCTGCTTAAAAAAATCTCTGCAGTAAAGAGTAGTGATGATTTATAATATTAAAAACATGACTGGTTGATCCTAGCAACCATAAGTTGGGGTTTCAAGAAAAAGAAACTAGTTTATGAATGGATTTGTTTCTCCAGAACTAAAAAAACAAAAATCCTGGTAAATAGTAAAAAGGGTAAATACTTACAAATCAGATAAAAACATAATTTGCAACCATGTTTGACTGTAAATGTTACCACCAATGTTTGGATTTTCACAAGATAGAAATTATTTAGTGTAACCATATCTTTTCCTTTTGCCATTTGGTCTCATTGGCATAAAAATTTATTTTAATAAGAACTTATCAAATTGTATTCTTCAGATATTGGTCATACATTGTGCTGAAATTTAGAACATAACTTGCAAGTCCTTGTACTTGGTTGCAACTACTTTTCTGACTGCCATTGAAAGTATAATATAGAGTTACACATTTGAAAGCATAGAGCTGTGTAATCGCATTGACTTGACCACAATACACCTTTACCGTGCGCATGCAACTCCTCCCCCACCCCTCAGGAATGGGAGAGAAAAGCAGGAACAAGGCAGAGGAAGTGCCAAAAGGGGACAGACAGTGGGAAAATCAAAGTCAAAAACTTAAGGATTCACTGAGGTCTGAAAGTCAACCATAGAAAAGGAAGGCTCAGAACAACAGATGTCAAACTTGAGGGAATTTGGTCTCTAAACTAGCAAGCGCGCGCGCGCGCACACACACACACACACACACACACACACACACTTCTTTAGAGCACATTGCGTAAAGGAGGAGTATGCCTAAAGGCAGGTGTAGCTGTGGGTCAGTGTCTGCATGGCTCTGCGTGTAAATGCAGTTAAGGTATCTTACTTTGGATTACATATGCAAAACAAAGTGGAAAGGGGACCTCAACCTGGCCACCCACCAGAGCCTTGTTCACACAGCCATTTCATCCGAATCATCTTCACCATCAAAGTCAATAACCACAACCTCTCGGTAATCACTGGCAGCACTGGTGACTATAGTAGTAGGGACAGGAAGGTCAATCATGGCATCAGGCTCAGGGAGGTCAGTGATGATGGTAGGCTCAGGGTAGCTGGTGGCAGCGATCTTAGGACGGTAGGAGGTGGAGAGCTCAGGGTGGCCAGCAGCAGCAGGCCTAGAGGGGCTGGTGGTGGCAGCCTCAGGGTGACCAATGACAGCAGGCTCAGGATAGTCAGCAGTGGTGGGCTCAGGGTGGCTAGTGGTACGCTTGGTGTAGCCAGTGGTGGGTTTAGGATGGCTGGTGGCAGAACTGAAGGCAGACTTGGAGTGGCTGGTAGCAGAGACATGGCGACCAATGATTGGCTTGAGGTGGCTGGACGCAGCTTTGTAATGGACAGAGTCACCTTTGAAATGGACAGAGGCAGGCTTCAAATGTCCAGATTCACCCTTGAAGCGGACAGACACAGGCTTAGGGTAGACAATGCCAGACTTGGGGTGACCAGAGGCAGGCTTGGAATGGCTAAAGGCAGGCTTGTGGTGGCTAGAGGCAGGCTTGCGGTAGGCATATCTGGAATGGGGCTTGGGGTGGCTAGAGGCAGGTTCAGGGTGGCCAGAAGCAGGTTCAGGGTGGCCAGGGGCAGGTTCAGGGTGGCCAGAAGCAGGTTCAGGGTGGCCAGGGGCAGGTTCAGGGAGGCCAGCTGCAGCATCGCCAGGTAGTGGAATATTCCGGGCATTCGGGGGGATTTCCTCCACAGGACAGGCACTGGCACGATCTTGTTCTCGAGCTTGTTCACGGGCTAGGTCGCGGGCACGGGCACGGGCACGGGCCAGGGCGCGAGCCTCCCTTGCCTCACGAATATCAGTGATGAGGCCAGAGACAAACAGGATAGGGTGCCGCAGAGCATGGAAGATGGTCCAGTATTCGCGTCGGAAATTCTCATTGAGGAGCCCATAGATCACAGGGTTGAGACAGCTACTGAGGTAGGCTATGAAGTAGGCTGCAAGATAAAGCCAGTTGGGGATCTTGCTTGCCATCTCCTTCGGACCGACAGCCACCAAGACAGTGAGCACGTTGATAGGGCACCAGCACACTGCAAAGAGGAGGAAGATCACAAACATAGTTAGAAAATTGCGAAACTCAGCCAGTTGGTTGTCAGGATTCTGTCCAGCAGGGGCACGGGCCGCCCGCACTTTCATCCAGATCCTCATGTAGCAAAAGCCCACTATGAGGAGAGGGAGGACGAAGTGGATGCAGACGATGGTCACAGCAAAGACAGAGTTGTCCAGATAGTTGAAGACGCAGGTGTAGGTGCGAGGATCGTATTCGATGACACCAATGTATGTGTTGGGCAGGACAGCCAGGACGGTCGTGATCCAGGTGATCACCAGGTAGATGCAGGTATTACGCACGCTGAAGATCCGCTCATACTGGAGGCTGTGGCAGATGTAGCAGTAACGGTTGATGGCAATTGCCATGATATTGAAGATGGAGCCAACCACAGTGAGCCCTGTGATGAACCCGACTATCTGGCACTGGAAATGGCCCAGATCCCAACCCCCAATGGTCATGGCATGTAGGATCAGAGGATAGGGGTAGACGGCCACCAGCATATCGGCTGCAGAGAGGCTGACCACGAAGATGTTACCTGAAAAACATATGGGGGGGACAAGGGGGAAAGAAACAGAAGAATAATGGTTAAAGTACGGAAATCTACAAATTTAAGGTGGAGGAAAAGACCAGTCAGCTTAGTGACCACAACACATTTTGTTTTTATTTACAAGCAGGTCCTGAGTGATTCTGACACACAGCCAGGTTTAGGAGACCTATTCTTTTCCTCCCTTTTTTCCTTTCAAGCAATGTCATCTCTGTTCTGAGAAAAAAGAAAACGTAAAACAGAGAGCTGTGAGCACAAAAGCCGTGTAAGGAGCCTTTCACACTCAGACAAGGAGAAAAACAAAGTGCAAACTTTTGCAGTGGAGGAGGGAGGAGGGAGAGGGGAACAGAGGTAAGCTAGATAGAGTTGTCCTTAGGAAGCAGGCTGGGAAGTAGGGGGCAAAAGCAGAGACTCAAGCGGTGTCAGGAAGCCTCAACCTATTTTTTTTTTTAAAGATAAATTAGCCATCTTCCCTCTCTTGCCTAGCATTGTTTTTATAACAAACACATATGTAGGGAGAATGTTCTGGAAAAGGGCATTAGGGGACATTTTCCTACACAGTCGTTTGCATTGTGATCAGACAGTAACCTATGACCTAGTCTCCTTAAATTCTTACCATTTCCAAGGTAACGTGAGAGTAACAACTGAGGGGAAACCCTGTAAAATTTAGTCTGGAACCAAAGAAGCAGTAAGCAGGAAAAGAAAGAAAGAAAGAAAGGAAACTTGCCGCAGGGATTAACAGAACTACCTGTTTCATGCCCTGTCCACGAACAGAGCCGCGCGCTGGCAAGGTCAGCGCCCTGCGCAGAGCTCTCAGCTGCAGCCCTGAGCTTTACTGGAGCCCACCAGCTAAACAGGAAAGTGAGGGGTGTCCCCCACCCCTGTCCTGTAGGGCAGCTATAGGAACGTTTTTGTAAAAGCTTTCACAAAAAAGGAGAAGAAAGAGGCCAAGTGCCGGCGCAGAGCCCTCCTTTTTTGGAAACACCTAGTTGCTAATTAGCAATAGTTTGGGAAAATATTGCCCTTAATGTTGGACTGGGAGAAAATCAGCGCCTTTTAAAAGGGCAAAGGTACCGCTCCTTCTGCCTCCTTCCGCCAGTGCTGCCACGACCCGGCCTCAGCGCTTCCTACCTTAGAGGGTCTTTGTAGGGTTTCCCTCAAAGTAATGAATTCAGGTTAGAAAAGACAGACAGACATAAGAAAAGAGAAGTGCGGGCGCGCGCGCAGTCTTAAAAACAAAACCACAACCGTGAAAAACTTTTATTTGAATTACAGAATGAAGGGAAGAGAAGAAGAAAAATAAAGGAAATGAGAAAGATAAGGAAAATGGGTTTCGCGCCCACGGCTCCGTGGGTCGGCACCTCACTGGACCGCGCGGTGAAGGTGAGATCCAAGTTCGTGGCCCCTGGTCTCTGGGGTACGAAGGAGAAATCAGACACACCCACCAGACTTTGGAAAAAAACTTTTAATGGCTATGTGCCCGTGAGTGCGTTTTGAAACGTGCGATTTTCGGGACTCCTAGTCCAAGCAGAGTAGACCTCCACACCCCTGCCCCGCGCGGGTCCAGTCGGTCTCAGAACCTCTCGGAAACCCCTAGTCCTGCAGCCCCAGCCCCAGCCCGAGTGGAGCCTGTGGCAGAGACCCCGAGGCGGCGCCGCTGCCGCCACCCTTCCGCGGCCAGAGCGCGGACTTTCGGCCGCTTTCCCTTTCCCCATCCCTCCAAAGCCCTCTCCCGCCCAACCTGCAAATCCCGCTATCGGCTTAGCGGTGGCTGCGGCTGCATCTCTGCCACAGGTCGCAGCGCCCATATCCTCTCTGGCTACAAGCTTTGCTCTCCCCTGGCCGCCTCCGCTCCGCACCGGCTGGCAGCTGGAGTTGTCCGCCTCGCGGCTCCCGGACCCCAGCCCTTTGCAGTCTCTCTGAATCCCCTCTATCGCCCCTCTGAGCTTTCCTGCCACCCTCCCGCCATCCCTACACGGTTTCGCTGCCTAATATCCCCTGCCCCTGCCTCCGAGATGCCAAGATCGCGAACCTCTCCGCCGCCCTGCGACCCCCAGTGCCCGGCTTACGGACCTCGGGATCTCCGCTGCTGCAGCCGCTGTAGCTGCCACCTCCTGCGGCGTCTGGCCGGCAGCTCGCCTCGCTCCGCCGTGCGCCCTGGGACGAGCGAACAGAGCTCGGCTCCGGCGTGCTCAGACCTCCCCGCTCCACACTCAGGCGCTGGGGGTCTGCGCTTTGCCGCCGGGGAGCCACCCGGGAGCTGCCTGTGACAGCCCCGGAGCCCCAGGTCCGTGGCGAGCGCGGTAGGGCACCGCCGCGGCATTGCGCTCCGGTAAGCGCTGCCGCGGCGAACGCGAACTTCACTTTCACCGAGCGGGCGGCAGCCCGGGTGATCCCTCCGCATCAGTTCGGTCAGAGCTGCCTTGGCGCCGCCACCCCTGCAGCGTCCGGCTTGGCTTGGTGAATCCAGGCGGCCGCCAGGCTTTGCGGTGGGTGCCGGATCCCTCCACATCGGGCTCCCAACCGGACAGGAATCAGCAGGCTGCCGCTCACCGCGGCAACCCAGGCTTTGCCCTTCGATGCCCAGAGCTAATTCTGAGCTCCCTTAGCCTTGAGAAGCTCCAATTTTCAGTGCCCCGGCAAAATATCACCCCCCACCAGGCTCTCGGGGTATTTGGAGGCTGGGACGTTCAAAGTGAGAACACTGCCCATGGGTTTCCTATTCGGGGACATCCGAACTACCACCCAAGGGGTTGCAAGCCGCTGCAATTGGGTAGGGAGAAGGAAGGGTAGCTTACCAGTGTTTCGGAGCTTCTTGTTCTTTGTCACAGCCAGGATGACCATGGAGTTGCCGATCAGGTCAACGACAACGTTAACAACCATTGCGCAGAACATAAAGGTGATTAGAGCTGGTGGGTAGTCTGGCTGGGGCCCCATACAGCCGATACAGGTAGATGGGGTAGGAACCACCAGGGTAGGCTCCATGTTGCTGCCTGAGACCGTTAAGATCCCCCAACAGGCTCAGAATCACCGGGCAAGTCAAAACAGTGAACACCTGCTCCGACACCCGGAGCTCCAGGAAAGCGTGCCTTCCTCTCCGACAGCCAGAGAGCAAATGACAGCGGCGCGCCCCCTCCCGTTGAGCTTTTAAAGCCTCGAGAGGCGGCTGGCCACGCCCCAAACCCCTCCCCCTGACCAATCAGATCTCTCCAACCACTCTCCGCTTCGGTTACTACCTCTTCGTGGACAAATCCTAATAGTGATGTACTCTTGCTTCCGACTGCCTTGTATGTGCATCCCCTCTCTCCAACCTGCCCCTCCCGCACCCCAGGTACTTTGCAACGTCACTAGCTTGGAATCCACCTCCCTCTCCCCACCAGCTGCTGCTCAGCGGTTTCTAGCAAGCAGTTCTCCCTCCTGGTTCCAATGTAAACACCTGAAAAGAGATGTAGCTTGCAGAACAGGAGCATGGGGTCTTTCTTGGAGTCCAGTGTCAGCCCAAGCCAGTTCGCAGTCGTTAGCAGGGTGTTAGCGGACAGCCAGTGACCCCTCAAAACCTAGATCATCACTCCTGCAGTTTCCTTGAGAAGCGCATCCTTTGCCTTCTCTGCGCCGCGGGAAACAGGAGGCTAGTGCTTGGGGGCTCTCACCCCAAATCTGGATTCTGATTTCTAGGGAATTTATCCCCACTCTCAACTTCCCTGCTCCTGGCCCACCTGGAGCCGCTTGGCCGCTAGCGGCAGCGGCAAGCAACCGCTCAGTCCGGTCCGGATCTTAAAGAGATGTACCCTAAGCCCGACTCTGGGATCGGGGAGTAGATCTACAGCCCGGGGACTAAAAGGCAGCTGATGTCCGCTAGGTCCTCAGCTTTAGGGAGAACGAGATCGGAACCCTTCCCAGCTGCAGGAACCTCGGTGGCGGGAGCTAAGGGGATGTTTTGGAAAAAAGAAAACCGGGCAAGAAAGCCCTTCTCTTGGACTGCCGTTTCTTGAAAAACCTCGGGGTGAATGGCTCTGGCTCCTCTCCCGTCCTAGGGTGCTCCGCACTCTCTACTGGGTGGTGCAGGACAGTCAGGCAGGCTAGGGGAACTGCGCCGCAGCGGCGGGAAGGGCGCAGAGGTGCCGGGCGGGCTGCAAAGCCAAGAAGCCGCTAGCAGACCGGCGGCCACCTCCCCCCGTCCTAGTCGGAATTTATCTGAGTCTTTCTCGGTTCTCATCCCCAGCGGAGGGTCTCATTTCGACCCAATCCCTGTCAGACCACCTCCTCACCAAGAGGATTTCCCTCCGCAGGCTCCCGGGTTCCCTATAGTGCGCCAGGCTCTCGCAGCGCTCGGACCACGGAAAATTCGACCGTTTGGGCTAAACTACAGGGGTGCAATTTGGACTTACTCCCTTATCAATGTTGCTCCCGGGAGTGAATTTCTGCTTGCTACTAAAAGTTAGGGAGCCGGTCAAGAAACCTCCCAGGATCTCATCAAATACGTAGAAACTTATCCCAGGTCAGCCTTCGTGCCGCAGTGGGGAGACAGGGGGAAAGAGGGGAGAGGGGTTACCCTGGCCGGGAGCGCCATCGTCTGGACGCAGCCACCCTCCTGCCTCGGGGTGGGTGGGGGGCTGACATGGGGGGGCTGGGGAAGGTGGAAGCGCGTTCAGTCACAGACTCCAAAATTCAGGGATTTTTAACGGATAAACAGTGCTGAAAACCAAGATTGCACGCATTTTCTCTAGCTGAAAAGTGGGAATGTGTCCCCTTTGAAAATGAAGCCCCCAGCCCCATCCATGGCTAGCTACAGAGAAGGGAATCGGACCGGAATTACAGTCTCCCGCCTGAAGCCTTTTCATATTCATTAGCTCGCTGCTTTTCGCCGGCTGAAACTCCCCAGCGGCGCCCTCTCCCACCGCCGGACTCAGCCAGTATCTTCCCGTAAAGACAGCCCAATAACCGATTGTGCTGACCTCCCTACACAACCAGGCGCCCTAAAAAGAGACCAGCAGCCAAAAGCACCTTCCTGCCATGGAATATTTTGTTGGATCCACAGCTGGCTGTTCACGCTGGTTTGTTCCCCGAGGGTTTGCACGCTTTCACTTGCGAGAAGGAGTGGTTTTGAATTAAAATAAGCAAACAAAATGAATTTAAAGGAAAAAGGGAAAACAAGCATTCTAGTAATTTAAGACACGAGACTCTCTCCACCCCAAACAAGCCTGTAAAGACAGCAGGCGCTTTCCAGCATCATTACACTGTGACAATGAGATGAGGCGGTCCTAGAGCTGCTGGAGCCCCTTTAGCACTGGGAAGTCCAGCCTGTGATTGAGGAACGGGCAGAAGATCGAGTGAGTGGACCCCCTGGCCTCCGCCCCTGCTTGGACACTACTTGACCATGACCCCTTGGGACCTGGGTTTTTCAGTACCACACAAGTGGAAAAGGTGAATATTTTAATAATCGAGAAGGAGATAATTTAATTGTCATTTATAGTTAAATAAATTTTCTTATTTTTATGAATTTGTCTTGATAAAGATTCACAACATAGCCCCAGTACTAAGAAAAATAGACATTAAATCAGTTATGCGGATGCCTCTGAGGGACAGAAACAGTCCTCGTTTGCAAGGGCAGAGGAAGTCTGGTGTGCAATAAATTCATTTCTTTGGAACAATTAAGGAGGAACTCTGCTGAGTAGAATGTGGTGTATATGGTTTAAGATTCCAAAGAATTTTTAATTCTCTTTCAAAAAGACCACTAGCAGCCCTAATAACTATGCAGACAGAAACACATTATTTGAGATTTAAAAGCTGTTAAGATATAGAACCCAAACGGAGGAGACCTGGGAAACTCGCAGAGGAACAAGAACAAGCAAATGAACAGTTTCTACTCAGGAAAGGGCAATCTTTCTGCACACATGACGGTGGTGCCTGCATCTTCAAATCTGCAATTATGGTGACGATGGTGGAAGGTTGACTTTCATCAAACTTTCTAGGCCAGTGATTTTCAACCACTGTGCCGTGAGAGGATCTTAGGCGTGCCATGAAAATTTTTAAAGATCGTTAATTAAATTATTTTCAAAAGAAATTCAAAGCACAGTAAGTATATGCTTTTTTTGTTACTCTTTCTTTTGATCAACATAATGTAAGTGTGCTGTGGAAGTTTAACTATACGTTCAAGTGTGCCGTGAGATTAAAAAGAAAAAAAAGTTAAAAAACAGTGTTCTGGGCTCTCTCTTTAACCCTCAAGCACTATACAATACCTTGCCTGTAATTAGTAAGTGCATTTTAAAATAAGCGTTTCACAATTTTCAAAAGCTCATTGGGAATATTTTCTCTCCCATCAATGCCATTAAAAAATGGGAAAACTGAGGCTCAGAGAGGTGAAAGGGTTTGTTTGAGGTCACACCAACATAATGGGGGAGCCCAGGTTTAAATACAGGCTGGCTCTCTTCTCAGCCCAGGATCTTTCACCTACAACCCAGCTTCCTAAGATACTTTCTGATCTCAGACTTGATGGGGTACACTCTGTGTTCTCTTTTTTAATTGTCATTCTGCCTTTTGTCTGTTTTTATTGAAATATAATTCACACATAGTAATAACTACAATTCAGTAGGGTTTTTTGTATATTTGCAAAGCTGAACAGCCATCATCACTATCTAATTTTAGAACATTTCCATCACCCCAAATGAAATCCCATACCCATTAGCAGTCACTTCCCATTTCCCTCAGTGCCCCACCCCCCACCCCAGCTCCTAGAAACCACTCATCTGCTTTCCATCTATATTATGGTTTGCCTAAACTTTATGGCCACCCTATATATAAAACTGGAAAATTCAGAATTTGATACAACCTCAACGACAATGAAAATGTCTTCAGTTTGAATATAAACAAACTCTATTCCTTTCCATGCCTTTAGAGATGTCTACCACTTTGTGGGAAAGTACATAGGAGCCTGATAGCTGCTGTGGCCACCCCAGACCCTCCCCCACCTGCGCTGCTCCTATCCCAGCACCAAGCAAGTGCTTGATGAGTAGGGACTACATTTGGTTCAGTTCTTGAAAATAAAAACAAACTTGAATCTACTGGTCATATGTATGACCTTAAGCAAGTCATTTAGCCTCTCTCAGGGTGTCTCAGTTATATCCCTATAAAATGCAAATAATCATACTGCTGCATCATAGGGATGATGGGAGGGTTACATGTAAGCACTTAGAACACTACCTAGAACAGAGTAAGCATTCAATAATACCAGTGATTATTATTATTCTGCAACTTTCTAATATTCTGCCTAAACTCTATTCTGTTACACTTATATCAAGAACAGGGACTCTCTGGGAGATCAGAGACCCGGGACTCAGCCTCCAAAGCCTCTTGCCTCTAGCCTCTAGTTCCTGACAGTAGGCACCCAATGGGACCCCGCAGCATCCCAGGCCACTCTAAATGTGTCAGATGGAAAAGAACACACAGAGTGATTTGCATTTTCACTGCTCCACCATCCTAGGATGCTTCACTAACAGAGTTTGTATCTTTTCCACGGAAAGAACAATCCAATTCCTTGACATCAGTCAGAATGAAAGCATGAAGGATGGTTGGCCTGGAAACACATCAGACCTGAAGTGCACAGGTGGCCGGGTGAGCTGGAGCAGGGGAAGCTGGGTTTCAATGGAGTGTGGGACCAGCCCAGGCTAAGGGACATCTGGATCAAGGTTGGTTGTGGAGCCAGGACTTCAGGGGTAAGGCTGAATCTTCAAGGGACCTGAACAAGGATTTAGGCAGAAATCAAGTCACTGGAACTGAGAGACAGCCTAGTCTTGACACCAGCCAACTCACGAGCAGTTTGGGACAGGTGCTGGGTTTTTCCTAATGAGACTATGTCTGGTCACATTTACTTTACCAGCTTGAGACACTGTTCACATTTCTTAAGTGAACAGAGAGAATGATTGTCCTCTCCAAATCCTCCGGGCTTAATTCATCATGGTTAGAACCACTTTATCTTCTCCCTGTGCTTGAGTCATTAGAGAGAGCAGGACACATCCATTTCCTTTAGCGTAATCAGGGACTCACCAAAATAATTAGCAGCCAGTATTTGCAGGATCTTAGTGCCCGATAAAGAGTACAGGTTAGATGGTTCAAATCAAAGGGTG